TGAATAATACAATTTTTTGTTTAAACGCTAGTCCACAGATCGGGTTTTGAACTTTTATATTCTTCTGGTCAAGATTATGGGAGAATAATTCAGGGCTAGAAAACTTTATCGCTGAGTCAGGTACTCGTGAGAGGCATCTGAGAGGAAACTTTCGTAAGCAAATAAAGATATGAGTAAGTCTGTCCTGCCCGCTTGCAATAGAGACCGCGGATCATGTTTTCGGCGCGGCAGAAATCGCAAAGCTTCCGCCCCTCTCTGATGCAACTGTTACGATCTGTCTATAGCCCCCCCCGCCCCATAATGGCGCCTCGGGGCAGGGCTTTCATCAACCAGACGTCAGGCGATTAAATAGCCTCGGGTGAACGCAAATTACGACAGTTATAGGTGGACGGGGGGAGAAAGGACAACGTCACTCAGCTGACGAGCAAATGGCTTCTGACCTCCCGGTTCAGTCAATTAAATTTCAGTAGTAGCTTATGGACTGGCACGCAAACGATTGCTTGGTCGCGGAACTGGAAGAGGTTTTTAATATGTTTATTAAACACCTAACCCTAACAGGCAAGATTTTTTAAACTCTCCCCATGTGGACTTTGTTCAACACCAGACAAACTAAAGCAGGAGAAATTGACAGCATTCAGACCGTTCTCGAGTGGATTTATAAGAAACCAATGTATTACCGGCAAACATTAGGGAGTGCAGAATACGCGTATTTCTAGCTTATTGGCTGTCGTCGGCTGCATATATCCAACTCTAGTATAGCCACAGAAACTGCTGCTTCGAACCCGCGACCAGTGAGCCCCTGCTCGCTGATGATGAGTCCGCCACCGATATCGAAACGTCAGGCGAACAAAAGTATTGGCCCAGCGATCGAGTCGCCTTCCTCTCAGTAGTAGCAGTACCAACCTTGGTTTCCTTGAGTCTGTCTTGACACACACTGAAGGTAAGTGAGAGCAAATAGTGCGATAGTACCAGCGCAAAAGACTACTGTCACTTAAAATTAATTTAGGCGGTTTTCTGGTCAGCATTGGAGAAAGCGGCCTACAGCCGATCCCGTTCGGTCAACTTGACTTTGTCTTGTCACCCGTTCAAACGGGTAAGGGTTTAGAGTGAGGTAGACTGTTGCGCGTCTATTTCCCTTAAATCTCGTCTCTGTCTCCAGTCACCATCCCTGCCCTTGGGCACATGGTGGATATCAACGAAATCGATGGTCGAACTATCATCATATAATCGGTGCACTGTGTCAACACTGTACGCTTTTAGATGTTGATATCGTGTAAAACTTTAATTGAGTACTCTATGACCTTTTACCTTTGACCTTTTAACATGATCCCTTACTTATCTTATCCCTCGCTCTCCGTGAATGGAGCCATTTTTTGCTGAATGTTTAGGATATTCCATTTTAAATAAAGCATTCCTCTTTCTCTGCTTCGGTTTAAAAAACAGAAGAATAGGCAAGCCTCCCCACTGATTCTATAGGCGGCCTTGGCCAAAATGCCAATAAGGGTAAGTATTATCGACTCCTAACCTTCCTCATAACCGCAGACTTAATTCTAAACAAAATCACCCCATAAACTAGTGCAAGGCCTCCGGAATATGAGGAGTCTTATTCCTGTATCTTGCCGCACCACGCTTTAACAAAGGACGTATTTAACTAAAATGAATGCTAGTGCATTACCGCTTATGTATGTAGTTTGTCTAACCAAATAGCCGAGCGTTTTTTACACTGACGTTCCATTCAGCGATCAAAAGTGGTTTGTGGTTAAAGTACTGAATTGGGAATGTTGGGGACATCTTGTATTTCTCAGCAGTTGGTACTGATTTAGCAAAATCTCAGTCGGTCAAACACGAAACCGGAATACCGGTGGAGCAAATAAGGAACTGGTCGCCCATCGCAACAAGGAAACATTATCCTTTAGAAATTGAACTGTTAAATTCGAAGATTATGAATCTTCCGAATGTATTTTTCCACTCAAGCTCTACTCGAGTTTCCAAAGCTGGACACGACGAACCTCGCGACAGTTTATCAGGACTCCAGAACAAAGGTCCAAGAGCGTGTTCCACCAGTTAATCATACATATCGGTACGTGGCTCCACTTACAGGTGGTTTACACACTATTTTCATGAGAACTTTGTTAATTCGTTTACTTACCGCAGGGAACATATATGTCCCGTTGTGTCCTGGAGCTCGAACGCACAGCCTCCAGTCGTTGAATACGAATTCATAGATCCGTCGTCGTCGACTGGGCAGTGTGAGGGTCGTTAACCGACTTAGTTTTCGTAAGGAACACTCACCCACCCTCTTAGTGCGACAGCATGCCCTTCGAGCTCTCTCTTTCGGTGAAACCAGACACCGGGGAAAGAATCAAAATAGACAGTATTAATAACTGCAAGCTGACTAGACCGTACGCCAACGTATAGCAAGTGAGCAGGTTCCTTATTTGTGCCAAATCGAGAGAAACTACTCCACACTATTAGTCATAATCACAACCGACAGGTTGCCCGGTTTATAGTTCGATAGTAAGGCAACAGACCTAATTTTCAATGACTAGATAGTATGTGCTCAAACAGTGTGTTATCCAGACCTTGAGTTAGAGTGTGCATAGCTAATGACGTCTAATAAACTAACAATAACCATATGAAGGAGGAGCGTTCACCGGGAGAGGTTTATTATAGCGCCTGACGTTTCGGGTAGTTGTCTCGTCTATCTATCTTCAAAGCGTCCATTCTTTGAAGATGGGTAGACAAGACAATTAACCGAAACGTCAGACGCTGTAATAAAACTCTCCCGGTGCTGAATGCTCCTCCTTCTTCTGATGCACCATCTGGGAATCGAATTTTCAACATTATTACAGTAGTCGCCGGTTATTAAGCTCATGGTTAATAGGCCCAGCAGCGTATTAAGCCCAAATCAGCTTGGGACGGAATTT